TTGGATACAGAGTCTCACTCTGTCACTGTGGGTAGGGTGCCATGGTGTCATCATAGCTTACAGCAACATCAGTCTTTTGGGCACAAGCGATCCTCCTGCCTCAGCCTCTGGAGTAGCAGGGACTACAGACACCCAACACAATGCCCGGCTAGTTTTTCTATTTTTAGTAGAGATGGGGTCTCTTGCTCAGGCTGGTCTCAAACTCCTGGGCTGAAGCAATCCATCCCCCTCAGAATCCTCCCAGAATCCTCCCAGAGTGCTAGGATTACAGGCTGAGCCAGCACATACTTATTTTAACCCTTTGCTGTCAAGGGAGAAGGAAGACAAGAAAAAGAAGGAAAAGAGAATTGGGGCTCTGAAGCTGTCCAGGCCTGAGCTCAAATCTTGCCTTCACCACTTACTTCACCTGCGTGAGCGACTTTGGGTACATTACATGTGGGTCTCCATTGCTTCACAGGGATAATTCCAACCCGATGCTCAGGTTAAGAACACGGGTTCTGGAGCCAGACTGCCAGGATTTGAATCCTCCTATTGACCATGGGAACTTGAGGCAAATTACTTAACCTCTCTGTTCTCATTTTCTACTCTATAAAATGGGGAATGACAATAGTATCTACCTCATACAGTTGTGAGGAATCAGCAAATGTAAGACTTAGAACGCAGCAGGTGTGCTCAGTAAAGGTTAACTATTCTTATCACTTCACCAAGTTGTTAGGATTCACTGTGTGAACATACGCGTTAGTGCTTTCCCTGTACCCCAGTTGTCTGCAGCCAGCAAACAGCAGAGGTTCTGCAGCAGGTAGTTTCTGGTCTTCACTGTCCCAAATCAGGACTTTGTCACTCACAGATCTTTCCATCTACTTTTGTCCCAATTCTCTGTAATCGTGAATGCATCTGAGAGTCTGCATGTGAATCTGCATGTTTGCCTCTGTTTACCTGGAAGGGCTACTACAAGGTCTAAATGTGATGCTTAGTTCAACTTCGTTGTTTTAAAAGAATTTGATTCCACACACGTGTGTCAGTGCACACACAAATGCATAACTACAATGGCAGGGCCTACCAGTGCCTTGGTAGAGTGCCGTGGCATCACAGCTCACAGGAACCTCCAACTGTTGGGCTTAGCCAATTCTCTTGCCTCAGCCTCCCAAGTAGCTGGGACTATAGGTGTCTGCCACAACGCCCAGCTATTTTTTGTTGTAGTTTGGCCAGGGCCGGGTTCCTCCCCTTGAGGAGCTGCCAGCCACAGGTAAACACAAACCAATTTACAAGCTAGTTGTAACAAATTCTGTGAGAGAAGGACCAGAGAAACGGCTATGGAATTTCAAAGAAGGAAAATATTGTTTACCTGGATGGAGTTGAAACATTCTTCTTAGTAAAGTACCTCAAGAATAGAAAAAAAAGTATCCAATGTGCTCAATACTATTATTAAACCAATATATAAACACACTCTCATACCAATGATAAAAAACAAATATAGTCTAACAAGGGGGAGGACAGAGGCGGGAGGAGGGAAGGGCCAGGGAAGGTGAGTGGTGGGAGGAGGGAGAGCATTTGGTGGAAGCTCGCCTAATGTGTACAATGGAAGGGTGTATTTCAAAATAACTAAGAGTAAATTATAAATGTTTTACCACAAAAAATAAGTGAGGTGATGGTTATGTTGATCCGTTTGATTTAAGCATTCCACATTGTATATCAAATCATCATGTTGTACCCCATAAATGTATAGTTATGATTAAAAATTAAATTTAAAAATTAATAAAGTATCACTTCCACATGAGAGTTCCAGGAAGGTTTTCTGCAGGATGGGGAGTGGATGCAGGAGCATAGCATTTAAGCTGGACCCTGAAGGAGCTTTGAACCTATGGGGAGTTTAGAAGCAAAGGGAGCAACATGAGCAAAGGCGAGAAGGCTGGGAGGTGCGTGATACCTGATGTCATCTCTTCCATTGTGTTTTTAATTAGCCCTTCCCCCCTCCTTGTGGCCCCAGGACCTCCCATGAACAGGCAGGACACAGAGCTCCCCTCAAATCCATCCTTTTCCTGGAGTTCAGCCTCTGACCAGGAAGTGGGAAAGCAGGATTTCCTCTGAGGATGTTTTCTGTGACCCAGACAGTTCCGGTTTGGGGTGCAGAGAGGGAAAGATAGGAAGCATCACCAAGTCCTAAAGCACCTTTTTGTGAATTTTACGTTTCTTTTATGTGTTTCAAGCTCCTTAAAAACAGGGAATGCTTACTTCAGAGCTGGAGACACACACTGGTACTTCTTCAAACAGCTATGATTACTCATATTGGTGAGGGAAACTGTATTCCATTTTCCTTTTAAATTGTGAATTATATTAAACATTATAAAAAGTAGGGAAATGTTTTCCTCACCTCTGCCTGTGAAAATCCTTCACAATTTTTCAAGGCCTATTCCAACACCGTCTTGCAGGAAGCTTTTCCCTCCTTGACTTTCAAACCACTGCTCACACTCAATTTCTGCACCATCTTCTCATACAATCACAGCACGCTGCAGACACTCAGGGTTCACCTCAAAAAATGGGGAAATTGCCGGGGCAAGGTAGATTACTCACTCACGAGTAATCCTAGCACTCTGGAAGGCTCAGGTGGGTGGATTGCCTGAGCTCACAGGTTCAAGACCAGTCTGAGCCAGAGCGAGACCTTGTCTCTAAAAAAAAAAAAATCCATATCCCAGCTACTTAGGAGGCTGAGGCAAGAGATTTGCTTAAGCCCAAGGGTTTGAAGTTGCTATGAGATATCTACTGAAAGATATTATTTGAGACTGTCTCAAAAAAAGGGGGGGGGCTGGGAGGTGGGAATTAAAGCCTGTGACTTGTCCAATGTCACAGACTTTGGGGCAGAGGACAGACAATAGCAACCGAATTGCTGCTGACTCCCAGTTCAGTGTTCTTTTCACTTGTGTTATTTTCTCTTTCCTATCTTTGGTTCCCCACCCCAAACCCACGTCTCCAATGCTATACATATTTGTTCCCTCTGTCAGAGATATGCCCTTTTCCTAAAGATGTCTCAAAACTATCATAGCAACTGATTTGCCAAGTAACATCCTGTAGTAAAACACTCTTCTTAGAGAACTTTTCAGAGTAAGCTCCAGTGATGGTCCCTCTTGGTACATATGTAGTAGACAGAGATGAGTTTTGTTGAATATGCAGTCTCAATTCAGTTTCCAAAACTGAACACCTTATCTTTACATGTGGCCTTCAATTGGATGTGGTAAAAAGTGATCAAATTTAGGTTTTGACTAAAAAGTCTCAGGTTCAGTTTTTATTTTTCAAATAGCTTCTTATCTAACTAATATAAACATTGTTGGGTTTTCTGTGATAAAGGTAATTGATGTGATAGTTAATTCACCAACATTGTTTTTTCAATTAATTGAAAATAATGTGTCACTATTAATTTTATCTACTTATATACAGTTTTGGGTGAAATACTGAGGGCTAAAGTTAAACAGAGCACACTTAAAGTGGCATCAATATTTCCAATACTTAAATCACTCCAGTAAAATGTATAAGTGGATTTTTATACTATTTATTTATATTTTGAGACAGTCTCACTCTTGTCCAGGCTAGAGTGCCATGGCATCAGCCTAGCTCACAGCAACCTCAAACTCTTGGGCTCAAGCAATCCTCCTGCCTCAGCCTTCCAAGTAGCTGCGACTATAGGCACCTGCCACAAAGCCTGGCTAATTTTTCTATTTTTAGTGGCGACAGGGTCTCACTCTTGCTCAGGCTGGTCTTGAACTTCTGAGTTGAAGCGATCTACCCACCTCAGCCTCCAAGTGCTAGGATTACAGGCATAAGCCACCACTCCTAGCCTTATACTATTTATTAAAATAACTAAAACCCCAAATGACATCAAGGAAAGACATTATCATTGCCATTCCCATATCTTAATTGTGACTTGAAAAGAGCAACGATGTAGAGAATGATGCAAACAGGTCATGGCTCCAGTGAGGAACAGTAAGGAGCCACCATGTTACTTTACCTGGGCTTGCTAACTATATACTGTTCTATCAGATTACTGTTTCAGAAAACCACAGCTGCTTCGGAAATGGATCAACCTCTTCAGTACCTGAGATTACAAGTGTGAGCCTCTGTGCCAGGCCAATGTCAGTTTCTGGGTTTTGATAATTTATTAGGATTATGTAAGATACTATCATTGGAGAACACAGGGAGAAAGGTACACTTGAACTCTTAATTATTTTGGTAACTTCTGGGGAGTCTAAAAGTTAAAAAAAAACAAGTAAGGAAGAAAAAACTATAGCACAGGACAAAGGAAAACAGGCAATCTAGACATTTTTATTAAGTTCTATTAAAAATATTAAGACATCTGAAAAACTCACAAAGGTTATAAAACACACTCATACTCAGTCATTTTCTTAATCTGTGATAGCTAGTGCTATATGCTAAAGATGTTATAGTAACATTAACCCACCACGCTGCAAAAGTTGTATTTCTAGAGTTTAATAAAAATGCATCTTAAGAAGAAATATACTCCTTATATAAAAGCACTATTTTTTAAAAAATACTTTCCCTTAAAACTCAAAAATGGTTGATTTTGCTAATTTAGCCAGGGTCACGATAACTTCATGTTCTTTTAGTGATATGGAGTGGATGCAGAAATGCAACACGCTAGGAAAATGGGCTTCTTAAAACATACAATATACAAAAGAGCAGTATGGACTCAAAGCTGAATAGTGTATAGTTTCCTGAATTTGTTGAAAAACTGACCGCAAGGCTTTTTTTCCCTAAGTTTCACTGACGATGAACAGCTCTATTTGAATGAGAACTTAGCCATTTCACTAGCCAGCCACCTTCACAGACAATCAAGCCACTTGTTTAGCTATTTTTAATCAGCTGCTACCAAGAAAGAGACTGACTCTTAGGACGATTAGGAATCCCAGAATCACCAAAAGGCTCTGATTTCCCTGCGTATCTTCAGGAGACACCCTGTCCTTACATCAGAAGGGCAGGGAGTTAAAGGTTTAAAATAATTTTGGCAACTGTCTGAGACGCTTTATATCTAAGAAGGTGCCTACTGAATTCATGCTATTCATTTGCTTTAAAGTTTCAGAAGATTGCAAATTTTCAGGAAAAATTGGAATGTTCTTTTCATTTTCTTTCTCAGGATGTCGAGTAAACTCTGCTTTGCCAGTTCTGACATTCACTGCAGGACCTGGTTTGTGGTTTTTTAATAAGAAAGGTGGGTTTCCATTCAACTGCTGTGTTGCTCTTGGCTGCACGACTTCATTTGTAATATTTCTCAATACTGGCACATCTGTGTGTGTGCCCATAGAGTCACAATTATAACAATTAATTATTTCACAGGCATTCCTAGAAGGCTCTTTTTGATGACCAAGTTGTTCAGCTACGGACGTAAGGTTTTCATTCAATAAATGTTCATTCTTGCTATCTGCATTGTTGGAAGGCTCCTCTTCATCTTCACTATTGTCACTGCTTTGTATGAGTCCGTATCTCTTCATATATTTTTTGGTTGCAAATGACATGTTGCTTGGTGAAATTAAACTAAGCCCCACTGTGTTTTTGTCTGTATTAATATGCAGAAGGCTAAAAGATGAGTCACAGTTGTTTTGGTTTGATCGAGTGAGAGACAACTGTGACAGCTGACTCTCATTTAAATATTTCAGAGCTATAGCATTCGCTTCCATGCTCAAATCCACACCGTTGGGACTTAAGCCACTCACGCCAACATTCGCAAATGACATGTAGTTTAATCCAGAGATCACTGCTTCTGGGCTGATGCATGCCAACACGCTGAAAGACAAAAAGTAGTAAGCTGTCATTTACTGTACTGTGAGTACTAAATAGTGTCATTCTAAATGTGACCCATTCTATAAAAGTAACAAAAGGTCTTCAGCTTTAAAGTCATGGCGCTTTTTATCTGAGTACTCAGACATGTAAATCGTGATGCAGATACAAGGGATACATTATAATAGCCTAAAAGGTAATCCAAGATTCACAGATTAAAAGTGGAATACAAGGGCGGTGCCTGTGGCTCAAAGAAGTAGGGCTCCAGCTCCATATACCAGAGGTGGCGGGTTCAAACCCAGCCCTGGCCAAAAACCGCCAAAAAAAAAAAAAAAAAGTGGAATACAAATTAATTTTCCTAAATTTCTACTTCCATTATGGTTTTCAGACTAAATACAGGCCCCAAATGTAAGAGCCATTCAATATTGCTGAGTCATGGGATTTACAACTATTAACCGCAAATAATGTTAGAGAGCAGCTAATGTTCAAAGCAAAGTAAAACATACAAATAAAATTAAACAAAAAACATATTTGATGACATAAATTTTGTTAAGTAGCTCAAATGATTAAATTGTTCTTTTTTTTTGGAGACAGAATCTCCCTTTGTCACCCTCTGTAGAGTGCCATAGTGTCATAGCTCACAACAATCTCCAACTCTTGGGCTCCAGTGATTCTTGACTCAGCCTCCCAAGTAGCTGGGACTATAGGTGCCCACCACAATGCCTGGCTATTTTTTTTGCTGTAGTTATCATTGTTTAGCAGGCCCAGGCTGGGTTCGAACCTGCCAGCCCTGGTGTATGTGGCCAGTACTGTAATCACGCCCAGCTATTTTTAGAGATGAGGTCTCCCTCTTGCTCAGGCTGGTCTCGAACCTGTGACCTCAGGCAATACACCTGCCTTGGCCTCCCAGAGTGCTAGGATTACAGGCATGAGCCACCACGCTCAGCCTAAATTGTTCACTGTTTAAGAGATTCCATTCACAATAAAACCAAACCAAACCAAACCATTGACCAGTCTCTGGATATGGGCTTATACACACACAAAGTTTTTTTCATTAGATATAATTTTTTTTTTTTTTTTTTTAGAGACAGAGTCTCAGTTTATCACCCTCAGTAGAGCGACGTGGCGTCACAGCTCACAGCAACCTCCAGCTCTTGAGCTTAGGCGATTCTCTTCCCTCAGCCTCCCAAGTAGCTGGGACTACAGGCGCCTGCCGCAACACCCAGCTATATTAGATATAATCTTTAACTCACTTTGGTTAGTGTTATCTCAACTGATGTTTTTCTTTACATCACATGTATAAGCATAACAGCTACTAATTCTTACTGAGACATTATACTACGTATGTGCCAGGTGCTCTGCTAAATGCTTTACGTGCATTATTCTCATGTGTCTCACAGTAACCTTTCTTAGGGAGGTATTATCCACCTAATATTTTTTGGCGGGTGGGTGGAGGGTTTTTTCAGTTTTTTTTTTAGAGACAGAGTCTCACTTTTATTGCCTTTGGTAGAGTGCTATGGAATCACAGCTCACAGCAACCTCCAACTCCTGGGCTTAGGTGATTCTCCTGCCTCAGCCTCCTGAGTAGCTGGGACTATAGGCATCTACCACAATGCCTGGATATTTTTTTGTTGCAGATTGGCCAGGGCTGGGTTTGAACCTGCCACCCTCGGTATATGGGGCCGGTGCCCTACTCACTGAGCCACAGGCACTGCCCTATCCACCTAATATTTCAACCTCACTCCTCACTTAACCAAAAATGAAACAAAACAAAAAATCAGGTTCATTATGTACTTACAATTTATTAATTTTAATGTTTCACACTAAAGATATTAAAATAAAATAGCTACTGTGAATAATACACTACCTAAAACTACTCCCTAAGGTCAGCCATACCAAAACATAAGGGTTCCTCAGAGACAGCAGGGACCAATAAGGAATGCATAAAAATCACTTGTATCTCATGAGATGGAAATAAAACCTTCAAAAATGCTAGCCTCATTCACCTACACTATTGGTAGGAATATAAACTGACAGAACTATTTAGTGCACAATGGTAGTATCTAGCGAAATGTTAAATGCATATACCCTTTCAACCTACCCACCTATGAATTTATCCTACAAAGATACTTGTATGAGCAACCTCTAGAATGAGGTTCAGTTAGCATTGTCTGAAACAACAAGTGTGAAATTTGACCTAAAAGTCCAATAGAGGACTGGAGCTCAATACATTATAGTACAAAAGTACAAAAGAATATTGTGCATCTGTTTAAATACATGAGCAAGAACTCATGTATATAAACCTATAAGGAAATGTATCCAAAATACACTAATGTAAAGGGGGAAAAAATTAAGCTTGGGAATGGGGGTGTCTATATTTTTTCTCATACTCTTCTATATTGTTTTTTAAACCATGAAATTTTATTTTAAAAAAATTTTGTTACTTTTGGATTTAGAAAATAACAAAAAATAATTAAAAGCAAACATGCTAGCCTTTATAATACAATTTCCAGATTTTATTCTCTTTTTCATAAGTACATGCTGAAGTCATCTTTGATGGAGAGGAATCTGAAAAGAAGGACATAACCAATAGGACACACTGCTAGAAAAAGTAATGTTTTCCCTTCTAATTTTAATTTTTTTTAAGTCTTGCTCTGTCACCCAGGTGAGAGTGCACTGGCATGATCATAGCTCACTGGACGTTAAAGTCCTGGACTCAAGTGATCCTCATGCCTCAGCCTCCCAAGTAGCTAAGACCATAGGCATGCACCATCATGTCTGGCTAATGTTTTTGGTTTTATAGTTGGACGACACTGTAGAACTATACATCCAGTAGTTGGCATAGACCCTTTCACCTCCAGGAAGACTTTTTAGACAATGTCAAGTAAAACTCCCCTCCCTTTCCTCAAGACTCAGTAGAACCTGTTAGGTTGGCCAAGGGACTGTAACAAATTGGTCAAGATACAGAGGTGGTCAACATAAGGAACTAGGCCTACTTACTGATACAAACATGTACATATTCTACTTGTCCCAGCTGTGAAAATAAGGTCAGCTTGAGGAGGTGGTCAATGTAGGGAGGTGGTCAACTAAGGAAATTCTACTGTATTTTGTTGGCATCTCTACCCAGGAGTTGTTTCACAATCTCTCTCAAATTATTTCTGTATGTAACCTTCTCTCTAAATAAAATGAGGAATCTAAAATATACAGATGATCTCTCTCTCTTTTTTTTTTTTTTTTTGAGACAGAGTTTTACTAAATCACCCTTGATAGAGTGCTGTGGCGTCACAGCTCACAGCAACCTCAAACTCTTGGGCTGAAGCGGTTCTCTTGCCTCAGCCTCCCAAGTAGTACTATGGGCACCCGCCACAACACCTGGCTAATTTGGGGGGCAGCTGTCGTTGTTTAGCTGGCCCAGGCCAGGTTTGAACCCGCCAGTCTCAGCCATAACCACTGTGCTACGGGCAGCAAGCCTAGAGATGATCTCTTATTCATCAATATACACAGCAGGTCCTGAATAAATGATGAATCATCTGAATTAAGAAACACATATATCTTTTCTCATGATGCTGATGTAATATAGCTAAAATTTATTCATCTTTTAAAACAATTTTTAAAAATTACCTGGCATGATCCACTTTATGTGCATTTTTTTTCACTTTAGTAGGAGAATCAATTTTTACTCCAAGGCTTCTTAGTTGCTTAAGAGTTGCATTAAGAACACAATCTTTATCCACCAGTCCTGAATCTTGCTTTTTTTTCTTTGTATGGTAAACATTTTGAGTTCTGGTGCATTCATGGCTGATGATCACTGCTTTGGTAGATGGTTGCTCAGTTTCTTTGGAGGAATTATTTAATAGGTGGTTCACTTGACCCTGAATAAAAAGAAAAATGACACATCTGAAATACTACTGTTAAAAATCTTAAGAGCTTAAATAATACCATAAGTAGACCAGAGAAAAGCAAAATAATCACCACAAAGTATCAAGTATATCTGCAAGCATTAGGGGTTTTTTTTTATAAAAGAAGCCTATCTTAATAAATGATTTCATCAGACTCTAGAGCAGCGGTTCTCAACCTGTGAGTCACAACCCCTTAACAATGAAAATACATTATGGCATTAGGAAGGTTGAGAACCACTGCTCTAGAGGAAAACAAATGTTTGTTTGGAGTTTGTTCCTTTTATTTTTTTGAGGCAGAGTCTTACTCTATTGCCCAGGGAAGGGTGCTATGGCATCATCATAGCTCACAGCAACCTCAAACTCCTGGGTTTAAGCAATCCTCCTGCC